GTAATTTGGTTTTCTGTCTTTTAGTTATCAAAAAAAAAAAACGCCCATTGCAACTCTCTTTGCCTTTCCTCGCTTTCTTTTTCTCTACTTCTCGCCCTCTTGTTTTTTCTCTCTACCCTGGTAAAACTGGATTATGAGGGTATTTGATATCCTCATATTAAATTCTTCTTCAAGCACCCATTCTCATTTTCTTCCCTTCTGCCTACATGCGCGGGTGTACCCCTTCTCCTATTCTAGTTTATAAGTATCCTTCCCCTTTTTTCATCGAGTTCGGTAAAAAAGAACTGGGTTTTTTTATTTCAAATTTAATTTAACTTTAATAATAATTTTTTAATTTAATTTAAGTAATTTTTTAATACTAAAAATAAAAATCAGGCTGTTACACAATGTCTTACAAGCGTCATGACATATTTCTAAAAGGCACCGTGCTATTGTGTGTACGCTGTAATTTCCTCTATCTCTTATTTCTGCTGCCTTCAAACGACCACGTTTTGACATGATTTCGGTGGAGCCAATGCTGATGAGTCATAAGGGATAGTAGCGCCGCGGAGACATTTTATTTTTATAGCCTGCGACCACACATTCACATTCACATTGCTGGTAAAAAAAAAAAAAAATCACATTGGCCAATTCTCACTCTTTTTTTTTTTAAAAAAAAGAAAACAACATGGGAAAATCACAAAAAAGACCGTCAAAACAAAAAATTATGAACAGGAATTCATGATAATATTAGTATAGGTTTTAACAATAATAGTGTGGATTTTGATGATAATTTTTATGAACAGATCTCTCTGTATACTTTTTTTTTATTTCAACGGTCTTTTTTTTAACGATTTTCTCAAATAACATCCTCAACTTTTTTGGTATAGATAACTCTCTTAATTTTTAATTTGGTACCTATGTGTTTTTTCCTTTAATTAAACATTTAATTTTATCTTTTTAGCAACATTAGCTCTTATAACTTTGTTCTATTGATATTTTTAGTCTCTACATAAGGATTAATGATGTTAATAGAGGAAAACTAAAGATTTAGTTAAGAACAAAAAACACATAGGTACCAAATTAAAAATTGAAAAAAAGTATAAGTACCTCCAATATGGTTTTCCCTTATTATTACTACCTCCAGTATTTAATATAAAAGTTATTTGACTAATTTAAATAAATTAAGAAAATTAGTTAAGTTAGTTATTTCTAATAAATAGGGGTTGTCTTTCTAAGAATACCTTTGCTAATTATATATGTTAGCTAGAATTATCATTTAATGAAATTTTTAACATGTAAAACTACTATAAAGATTATTTTAAAAAGATGAATAAATACAAGAGACAAAATGTATTAGGGTCTATATCAGGGTCTTATATTTTATATCAAAATGTCAAACTAGCTTTTATATTAAAGATCGGTGGTAATATTATTTTGAAAAAAATAATAATATTTGGCCTTGTGGGGAAAAAAAAAGGACTGGGATTTGGCAAGCATGAATGTGTGATAATTGGCTATAAAAATAAAATGCCCCCGTGATGCTGCTCTCCCGCGAGACTTGTCAGGGTTGGCTTCATGGAAAATGTGACAAAACGTGGTCGTTTGAAGGCAACGGACAGGCAGCGGATATAACAGGTAGAGGAGAAAAGTTGAACCCAATTTAGGGAAAACCATATTGAAGGTATTTATACTTTCTCTCAATTTTTAATTTGGTACCTATGTGTTTTTTTTAATTAAACATTTAATTTTATCTTTTTAGCAACATTAGCTCTTATAATTTTGTTCTATTGATATTTTTAGTCTCTACGTAAGGATTAATGATGTTAATAGAGCAAAATTAAAGATTTAGTTAAGAACAAAAAATACATAGGTACCAAATTAAAAATTGAAAAAAAGTATAAGTACCTCCAATATGGATTTCTCACCCAATTTATTGTGCGCACACGGTAATTTATTGTACTAGGTATTGTCCTATAGTAATGTGTCCACGGTATTTTTTTTTTTGTGACCTCATCCTGTATTTTAGACATACTATTTTTCACATATATCAACCACTGAGACTAATCCAAATTCACTAATTTGTAGGCACCTCTCAAAAAATAGGATAATTGACCAAAGGATTTAACATTTTCCATTTCCAACTGAGAATGAAACCCCCGAGTCCCTGACCTTATTTAAGGTAGCATCTGTCCCTAACACTGAACCAGACGCCGGCCTGTGTCCATGGCAATTTATTATCTCCATCAACAGATTTTTGGCCTGTTCCTTAACTCTTGAAATCGTTTCCTCACTTTAGCATCTGATCATATCAGATGCAGCTTTTACGAGGGGTTTTGTTTTCTACCCTTTTGGTGAATATCTGGGATTTTACTTTTATTACTCTGGGGCCAAAATCAGATTCCAGCAAACCACATGCGAGCAGTAGCACTACTCTCGTCTTTATCTTGCTTTCCTTCTTTGACCATAATGGGTGTCCTTGGGAAGCTGATGCCTATCTTTATGATTCCTCTGACATGAAACATGAGAGAGAGAGAGAGAGAGAGAGAGACGCGTGGTCCAGCACAAGGAAAAACAGATGGAGAATCAACGGCAGTCGATGGTTTTTGTTAGCCATAGCATATTGAAGATTGCTTCTCTACACCAAAAATTTTGTCAACTCGCTACCCCTTTCATCATCTCATCTTATCCTTCTAGATCGAAACCACACCGTATTCCCCTTCTGCTTTGCTCTTCAGGACTTATCAACGGCTCTCAAACATAATGACTCGCTTCCTTCTCTGTAATAGCCTCAAGAAAAAAGAATGGCAGAAAATGATGCTTCTCTGCACCAAAATGGCAGCTTCATCAAGAAATGCTTCTCTCGGAAATCCTGTAAACTAGCTACCCCTTTCATGATCTCATTATTTTCCCCTAATCGAGACCACATGAGAAAAATACTTCTTGGTTTTCTTCATTTTTCCCACATGGTTTCAAAGCAGGCACACCAAAAAAGGAGAAAGAGGGTTCCCAGTCTTTCCCATTTTCAAACCTTAAGTTCGGGCGCCTCTTTTCAACTCCATTAACTTTAAATTTCTTTTCTCTATGTACTGTTTTCTACCACTGATCTCTTATTTTACATAAACCTCTCTCTCTCCCCATTCTTAACTCCAAGTCAATTCTCGAGTTCAATAATTCTTTTTTTGGGCTTTTTCTACTCTTGCAGTGGAAGCGAGCTGGTTACCTTGCAAAGGTTTCAGAGGTAGCATTACATTATCTTTATGCGCGTATGTGTGCGCGCGAACCTGCACCCAAAAAACAGTAAGTTTCCTTCTTTTGAATGAAGAATAAAGCAGCTGTGATTTTCCTTTCGGTTTTTCAGATTTAGTGTTAGCTGGTGAAGAAAGTGACATCAAACATGAGAGAGAGAGAGAGAGAGAGAGAGTGAGTGAGTGAGAGATACATGTGTAGTTCAACACAAACTACTATGAGAGAGAGAGAGAGAGCAAAAATGAGGGAGATCCAGAGAGAGGGCGAAACAGATCGTTCCCTCAGAAATCATTCGTCTTAATTTTTTTTTTTTTTTTCTGGAGACGAATTCTTTCACCAAGTATTATGATCATCTTTCTGCGTGAAATTAAGCAGAATAATGCAGCTGTTAATAATTTAATGTTTCATTTATAATTATGTGGGTTTGTTTAATATTATAGGAACTGTTCTTAGGCTGTGCCCGACTGCCCGTGGCAACGAGTTCCGGTGAGCTTTTCTGTTCTTTTCACTTATTATTTCCATACTGCAGTCTTATTATTTTCTTGTTTCTAAAATTGAAAAATGATATGAAATGAAATAGAGGTATAAGGCGGATCTGTCGCAAATTTGACTATGCTATCAAATCATTCAATTTTTTGTTTTCAAATTTTTAACTTGCATTGACTCTATTAGAATTTAGTAGTAAAACTACATTTGATTATTAGCAATTGTTGTTAACAAGAAAAAAGTCTTGTTGAAGATTTGGTAGTAATGCACTTCTTTATTTCCAGGTTAGATTTAATTTTAATAATTTAAATTTAAAATAAGTTTATTAGTTAATAAATTTATCTATTAGAATTTGAATTAAATATAATAATATTAATATTAAATACAAAATCTACACAAAAATCTTCAACCAACAAGGAAATTAATTATCATATCTGTTTGTTAACAAATGAAGTAGCTTCTGTATTTGCATGTGTGCAGTTCTTTAACAGCAGGTGAATATTTAGATATATTTTAAAATTTTGCATTTTTCCAAGTTCAATTCAGACGCAAGCCATCGAGGCTCTCGGGCAGGGGCATTCATGTCTTTCAAATTACCCCAAACATTATGTTTGAATTGAAGAAAGTCCTTTCTTTTCTTCGGAAACACACATTACTCCTCAGTGAGCAGCGGCACTTCCTTACACACCTCTCAAAATTTCACACACTCCAAAGTTCAATATAGTATGAGATCTTATTAATTTTTTCAAGGTAAAGTTAACACCTCTAATTTACTCATTTTAGTTTAATGATGGAATGTAAATAAAAAGTAATTTTTTAAAATAAACCCAAAAAAAAAAGCACTACTGCACGTTACTACATACTCTACATCTATTATATCAACTTTTCCAATCACACATTAACATATGCTTTATCTTTAAAATTTTATTGTTAAGACTACAAGTTTGTATAGGGGGAAAAAATAACATATCAATGAGTAACCGAAAATCTTGTCATAATGAACCTTCTTTTGCCTACAATGAACATAAACTTGATGTAAATATTACCCTGATTTAAACAAGAATATCAAGTATCAAATTTCGAAAAAAGAAATTTGTTCTTAATTAAGCAAATAGCAAATAGCAAATAGGCAGTACCTCAATAATACCAAGTGATTTTACTTTTATAAGGGATATTACTAATTACTAATAATATCTAATTAGTAAAATTTTACTTTAAAATTCAGAATTCCCTTCGTTTTCAAAATAAACATAAATAATATAAGATAATATCCATTTACATTGGCCTCAATAGTCATCCCGACCATCCCCCTTTATCCTCCTCCTCCTTCCCTCACGTCTTTCCTTCCCCTTTGAGTCATCCCGATCATCGTTCTTTATCCTCCTCCTCCTTCCCTCACGTCTTTCCTTCCCCTTTGAGTCATCCCGATCATCGTTCTTTATCCTCTTTCTCCTTCCCTCACGTCTTTCCCTGCCCTTTGAGGAGACCCCATCCCTCTTTCCGCGCGGCAAAGGCCTAATAATCACTCCAGGAGGAATATTCCTAGCTGCAGATATTTTTCAGTTAACGTTATGCAAAATTATTATCATTAACAGAACTAAAATTGTTAAAATAAAACTCACCATTATATAACATGCCACAATCAACAATTCTAACCGCCCAGTCAAAACTAGTCTGTCCGATTTCTCGAAGTGTATCCATGCCTTCCACAAGCTTCCCGGTGACCACATGAGTCCTACAAGTTCCAAATATATTAGCATACTAGAAATTTCGACAAATGGAATGTTTGCACATCAAGCATTTCATATTGACACCCCAACTAGTTGAGAAAGGGGGGGAAAAAACAAAACAAGAGTTAACCATATAAATTAACCTGTCAAGGCTCTCATCAGCTCTCAATGTGATCAAAAAGTGAGAACGGCAATCTCTGAAGTCTCTTCTGGGCATAGATAGGAGCCCTTCCTTGTCATGTTTCAAGTTATTTGACCCATCGTCTGAAATAAATCACAATGTAGAAACTTTTCATCGAAATGAACATTTTGAGAACTTTTAAACTATGAATCTAGGATCTAGCATTCTCACCAAAGAAATATGGACCAAAAACACTTTGAACATCTTCCCCTGCAACATGATTAAAAATGTGATGTAGAGGTGTAAGAGTAGACATTACATCCAGGAAGGAGAAGAGACGATTAGCAATTTTCGAAGATTATAACAAACAAGGCATCCGGCCAGATGAAACTTATAACTGCGGTCAAAATTGTAATTATGATCATTCAATGGAAGATTTACATAGCAATAAAACAGTAACTTGTACAAATTGAAGATTTAAATCTAGAATGAAGTGACCATTTAAACTTAGGATTTCCAAACAGAAAGACTATTTAACCACTCATTTAGAAATATATATTAGGCCACAACATTTTCAATTGGGAAAAAACAATGATCTAGTTAAAATCTTCAATTGCTAGTCTTAATTCAATCCTACAGTTTAACATCCCAAATGATTTGAAAATAGTGGATACAGAATTTACTTAAAATCAACATATCAATATGTAAATATAAAATATATGACATGACGCATCACTCACAATCAATGAGCATCATGGCCCATTCTTGAAATACCAGCTATGCATAAAAAATGAATCTACTTTCATTTAATAATTAGTAAAGTGATTAGAAAGAGTTCAAAATTGCATCGACAGAAATGGACTAAATGTGAGTAAACGTATTGTATCGAATTACAAGATTTAGAAAGTAGTTAAGTGTGCCATGCTAAGGTCACTGCATCAATAGGAAACTTACCAGTTTCGTAGTTTATGGCGCCTCCCTGCAAAAGGAAAAGTAGCAATTAATCTATAGTCTTGAAAGCAGGTTGCAAAGAAAACTGTTCTGGAAATTAAAAAGCATATTAGTATTATTAGATGGACAACTTAGTAACCATACGCTTAAAACCATACCAGTACATACCTTCACATAGGAGCCACCTTTCTTAACCTTGTGAAAGAAGCAATTTGCGTAACACAAAAACGTATCATTTGGACTGACTCCTTTTTCTCCTGAAAAGAGAGATGATTAAATGAGAAATGGGGAAGTCATATCATCAATCATAAAAATCAAAATAAGTTAGCATGTCTAAAGGCTTGTTTAATTAGTGAAACTGTAATAGCAATCCAGGGAGAGTTCTACTAGGGGGATATTAAAGAAATCAGATTATTACCTGTACAAAGCGCACGGAAATCTTCTGCAGTGTAAGGGGCAATGTCATAGAATAGCTGGGAGGTCAAAATAATTCGTTAGGTTCCATTTCTGCTCTCATAGTCAAAATTGCAAAATTCAAACGATAAAAACTGCATCGTGCACGATCACTGTAATTCAAAATTACTAAAACGAAAAGGGTACCTCAAAAACCATCCTTTCATAGTACATCCCGGCTATAAAGACGTCCATAAAAACAGGGAGTTTCTCCTCCTCTGTCATTGTGTTCCTTTTATGACTCAGAACTCAAGCCAACAAAACCACTGAAATCACAAAAGTCAGTCAACAGACCTATTAACTACTGATATATGTAATGTAATGTAATGTAACGATAATATGTAATATTACATCAGAAGCAAACACTGGCACATATCATATCACAAAACTTCTTGAATATTAACAAAAAGTTGTATCACGTCCGAATATTTTCGGAGACTAAGTGTAGATATAAAAGCCAGAAAAACAGAAAAAAAAATTGCAAAAACAAGAATAAACTAAAGGGAAAACAAGAAGAATCAAGAAATAATCATATTCTAAACATCAATAAAGCATCAAAGTAGAGACAAGCGAAAGGCATTGTATTCATAAAACACTATGAAACGAACTGGCATATCTACTCTCTATTTGCAGATACTCTGAACTATTTCTTTCATATGGTCTATGATCCCTCCTCTAAACAGAAAGGGAGATTTCCCATTTGTGTGTTTGAAGGGATATATGCATATAAGAACGTGGTTGTATATGAGAATATGATTGATGATTGCACTGTATAAGATTGACATGTAATTCATTTACTGTTTTGGCTACTCTTCACATCCTTTCTAGTAATGACTTAATTGGCATAGGACTAGTGTTTTTTAATGTTTGAATCGAATATGAGGATTAAACTAGGGATGTTATCAGTGGTACGCACCCAAGACATCAGCAATATCATGCTTATATATGAATTTGTGAGTTAAATATCCTGTTACTTCATATGACAGTATTTTTAGATTTGAATCATAAGGACGTATAATGAGAGCAAACTTCCAGGTCAGTATGAATCACGTCAGTAAAAAATAACAGCAGCAACAAAACTAAGATAGTTTGGATAAAGCATATAGCGTAATTTGGACAAACATATAGCCTAATTTGGACAAATAATATGGCATAAGCTGGATTATCGCAGCATTCCATCAGGATTGAGTGGTATTGACTACTGAGAAGGAATTTTCAGAGCAAAGCTTCAGTAAAAGAATAGATAGATAGGGTGAAGAAGAATAATCGACATAGATGAAACAATCGACATTGGCGAGGCGGTCGATGATCATCATACTCCCTTGTGGAAATTCAATCCATACCTTGAACAGTCCTTAGCGTTATGAAAAGAATTCTACAGAGCAAAATTCTCTCATAGCCATAGGTTACTGTAAAGAACTAAATAGAGGAAGACGAGAGCTAAAATTTGCAGATTTTAGAAACAAAGTGTAGCCATCACTCGGCAAAGCGCCAGGAACAGGAAGCTTACCTATTGACGACCGACAAAATAAATCTGGGAGACTGGGACTGTGATTGATGAATTCGAAGGAGATCTGGAGTGCAAGAGGAGTGGACGCTGGCGATGCAGTGGCTTGTGACTCACGACCGTCCGAGCTCGGACCCAGAGAGTGAGCGGTGCCAGCGAGCACGAACTGAGAAGTGAGAACGATGGAGACCAGATGGAGAGTTGAGCACGATGGAGATCAGAGTGGCAGGTGGGAGGCGGTGACGCCGGTGAGCGGCTAGGCCTTGGGATTGAACCGATTGAACTGGGTCGAAGACACGGGAAAACCCCTAGGGCAGAGTACGTTTTCTTCGTAGCTTAAATAATTTAGAATTGTAAATAATGCACGATAAACAATTAATAAAACGGAATGGGGAGTGGTGAGGCTCCACGGCTATCATCTTCTTACCTATTAGATCCTGAGTTACTATCTATTTTTTCACACAATTAATATAAATTAATATAAATACATAAAATTCATCTCTCAGAAAGCCTGGATTAGGCCGAACAGGCCTTCAAAAAGACCTGGGTCTGTGCTTATCTTTTAACAGGCTTGGCTTGACCAGATCATAGGCCCTAATAAGCCGTTAGCTTATTTTCACACCTAAACATCTATGTATTGAAAATCGAATTAGACTGGCTAGTTTACACTGAAAATCGGTGAATCGGCTTAGTAGCCAGTTCGGTCGAGCATCAATATTAGAATTAAATTGACCCTGTGTGACCCCGAATCAACTTCAGTTAAAACCGGTTAGCCCGGGTAACCTAACCGGTTTGGTGGGTTAACCTAATTGTTCTTTTGAAAAGAAAAACAATTTTTTAAAAGTTGTTAATAATTAGGACTTAGTAATTGAATAATTGTAGGGAGGAATTTTTTGTTATCATATATCTATTTTAATATTGTATTAGAATGAAGATTTATTGGTTTTAGTAGTGTGATATTATAATTTTAATTTGTCAAAGAAAGTGCAAAAAAATTGGAAAGAAATTGTAAGTATATGATTATTTATTAGTGATTTAAAATGTTAAATTAATATTTAGTTTTAAACAAAAATTTAAATTATTTTTTATTGTTTTTTATTTTTCACTAGTTTGATCGCCTGTTTGATTCTAATCTGACTCACTGACTCTTAATCCATTGTTCTATTTAGTTCAATGACTGGTCCGGTTTTCAATATCTTGCTCAACGCAAAGAATAAATTATAGATAAATTAAAAAAAAAAGGACATTCCAATTAATGGAGCAATTCTGAGAAACGGATATTGCATTCCATACTTTTGCCCCTTCTCACCTTATCTCTTATTAATTAGTCTAGAGGATGTAAATTAACAACGGTGCGGTGATTAATTGACCAAAAAATAAAAACAAAGATAAACATAAAAATTCTTGGTACTTTATGTTGGGTTAATCTGGGACATATCTATATGTATGTATCTCATTGTCAAGACTGAAATATACAGTAGAAAGAGGTTTAATAACGAGGAGAGCGAAAATGAACTGTGTTTTTACTTCATTCACAACCTCTTGGAGCAGTTCGGCCAACAGCAGACCAAGCCCAGGTGCACAACAGAGAAAATTTAAGAGTGAGTGCAGTAAATTAAAAAAAAGAAGAAGAAAGTAGAATTAGGATATTAGGAGCAACTAGAAGCCACTTAGTTGAATTCATTATTTACTATGTAACAAATCAAAATACTAGAGATGCCAATGCTGACAGAACTGAGTAACTAGAAGCCGCGATCATACTTTATTTCCTTGTCTCAGAATAACAAAGCTTCTTAAAACAACACTGCCAAAAATGTCATGCATTTCAACGCAAAAGACATTCTTAAGATCAGTCGTCGCTTATAACAACCGCATGATCTAGTTGTATCTCTAGATTTTAAAAAATAATGTACCAACAACTGCACGAGGGCGATATGAAGGAGCATATGCCCATAAAATTATATCTATGAAACTCTTAATTCCCCACATTTTGTCAGTCTGAATCCCCTATTTTTGGCGGGCTGGACCCTCTAGCTCTTGAGGGGATTAGGGCTGAGATTTTTCTTTTTTCCAAAAACATCCACGACAACTGCCTCTTAACATTGCGTATCAAAAAAAAAAAAACTGCCTCTTAACATTTATTGAAAATTTTCTTTTGTTTTTCTTTTTGTTTTTTGTTTTGCCAGCACTGGCGGAAAATTTTTCTAGATCTTTGTGGAAAATAAGCGCGTCTCTATATAGATATATATATATATATATATGCATATGTTGGACTTAATTACTAATCAGCTCTTCCATATTAATATATGTTAGTATAATATTCGTGCTCTGTACAATTAGAAAATTATAAAAAAATTATTTATTTTAAGACAAAACTTAGATAAAGTTAAGTAGATCAAGTAGGTACAGGTAGCCAATCAGTTGCTGCCACCTGTTTTAGTTGTACACAAAAGCACTTAACCAAGTTTAAATGCCCTTAGCGATCGTCCTACCTCATGAAGCGAAGGCTGGGATTTCAGAGGTCGAGCTTCGAGGATCTGATGGCCATAGCAGGAGAAGCTCTGAAGTCAAACCACGATGGGGCCTTTGGTTCTTCCGGCGTCGAAGAAGATTCTTTTTCTCTTGACCCTGATCGGAAAGATAATCTTTTAAGCGCATTAATTTCAGCATCCACACCATTCGCCAGAGGTAGGAAGATGATCAACGAGTTGCAATTTAAATAAGTGGCACCCCAAGATGTTGTTAGAGACTATTTAATTTTGAAGCCTTTCCTATAAAATTATACATTTTAGTCTTTCTGTGGTGAATAGCATGATATGATTGCTTAATTAACTCCTGCAATTTCCTGAATAGGAGTTGAAGCGGAGAAGTCTGACCCTATTAATAACGGTGTGCGTATTGCATTTGGGATTCACGAACATATATCAACTGAAGAAGTACAGGGACCTAAACCAGAGTTCCTAAGAAACGAAATGGCTCGAAGTTTTGTTGATCTCATAGATGATGCAGATAAGCCTTTATATCATAGGTGTACAAAGTACTCAAAGTTGTCATTCTTAGTAAAGCTATATCACATAAAATGCTTATGCGGTATTACAGACAAAGCAATGCCAATGCTCCTCGAATTATTGACAGATGCATTCCCTCATGTGAATTTTCCATCGTCGTTTTATGAAACGAAGAAGATGATTAATAAGCTTGGCTTGAGCTACATGAAAATTGATGCCTGACCAAATGATTGTATGTTATATTACGGAGAACATGCCAGCAGGGAGACTTGTATAAGGTGCAACACATCTAGGTGCAAGCCCACACAGAAGAGGGAAAAGTAGAAGAAGAAACTTGCAAAAATTCTAAGGGATTAGTTGCTTTAATATTTGCTTAAAATTTTTAAAAATTATGTCATCATTAAACTAATAATAATTGCTTTAATTTTTTTTACAAATTATGTCATTAATAAACTAATATAATTGCTTTAATTTTTCTTTACAAATTATATCATTAATGAGTTAAGAGTATATTTGTTTTATTATTTTTTAAATTATTTTATTACTAAAGTAATATATTTGCAAATTTTTTTTTTAGAATTATTTTGTTAATCAACTACTATATATTTTCATATTTCAATTCTTAGGTACTTTTCTTTAAAGCCGTAGCTGTAGAGATTATATATGTCATCAAAAATGGCGGAGCATATGAGGTGGCATGATGTTGACAAAAATGCAGATGGCAAGTTAAGACATCCATGAGATTCTGAGGCATGGAAAGCATTCAACTCAGAGTTTCCAGATTTTGCTGTCGATCCTAAAAATGTCCAACTTTCATTAGTGACTGATGGTTTTAATCCCTTTGGCAACATGAGCATCAGTTATAGTATATTGCCTGTGGGGTTAATTCTGTATAATCTCCCACCTTGGATGTGCATGAAACCAAGCTCGTTTTTGCTATCCATGATCATTCTTAGCACGAAAGCACCTGCAAATGATATAGATGTCTACCTACAACTATTGATATAGGAATTGATCGAGCTGTGGACTACTAGTGCGGAAACCTATGACTCATATGAGAAAAAGATTTTCAACCTTCGCGCAGCGTTAATGTGGACAATTAGTGATTTTCCTGGGTTGGGAATTGTAACATCTTAAGTTTTATCGGGTTTTAATAGCCTCTTTTGGGTTAATTTTGAGGATAGATTAGTGATTTAATCTTGATCTTGGTGTTTGGGTTGGATTTGAGGTTGGTTGGAGTCATAGGTGAACGTACACCCCTCTCAGGGTATGTTCGCCGCGGCAAAGTTTAGGGGACGCCGTGGCGAAGTTGTTCAGGTGAGCGAGGCTTCCCTTTCGGGAAGGTTTCGCCGCGGCGAAGGTAAGGGCACGCCGCGGCGAAGTTCTTCTGGGCGAGCGAGAGTTTCCTCTCGGGAAGCTTTCGCCGCGGCGAAGATGGGAGTTCGCCGCGGCGAAGTCAGGTTTTCAGGCGAGTAATCCCTCTCGGGATTAGTTCGCCGCGGCGAAGGGTCGCGATTCTATATAATCGCTGGAGGGTTCAGTTGTGCGAAAATAAGAAAATCTGAAGGAGGAGAGAGGAGCTCTGGTAGGGTTTCGGTTTTGAGGCTTGGGAAAGACATTTCTAAGGATCCATTACCTCAAGTAAGTGATTTTAACCTCTAATCTTCTTTCTTTCTTGAAATTCCATGGAATTTATGAGGATTTTTGGTGGAACCATAGGATTTTCTAGGTTGTGATGGAATTGAGGTTTTTGACCGATTGTTTTGAGTTTAATTGATTGCATTGGGTTAGTTTAAGTATTTAATCGGTGTAGTTTTCTTAGATTTAAAGAATCTTGAGTTTTGGAGTTAGGGTTTATGGAATTGGATGATTGGGGATTAAGGATGATAATGTAGAGATTGATTTTGAGTTTTGTGAATTGGGTTATGTTAAGGAGGGTTAAATTGGAGGTTTAATCGGTTTAGAATTGTTGTTGGAACCTTAATTACTCAAATGGGATGTTGGAGGTTGAATTCCTATAGTGGATCCTTGAGGTTTGAACTCTAATTGATGCTTGGAAGGAGACTTGATGTTTTAATAGACTTTGAGGACTTTGGAGTGTTGTTTTGTTAGTTATACCCTTTGAGTTGGGTAGAGTTTTGATGGGAGATAGGAATTTTATGTCCCCAAGTGTTGTTTTGGCCACATTATTAGTTTGAGAGCTAATATATGTTGGTTGTGCGTTTGTGTGCTTGTGTAGACCAGTTGTGAGTCTTGGTGGTGCGCGGGGC